ATATTTCACATTAAACTCATCAAAAATCAGTGAAATTTCATACAAAACGCCCAAAAAACCTTTTTCAGCGAAAATGAATTCAAGTGAAAATAAAGTATTCCACAGTATACAGAGTAGTTTTAGTTATTTTGTTTGTCAAAGTTTGAAGGTGACAATGCTTTAATATATATGCACTGATATATGTTATTTCTCTTAAAAGATGCTACATGTAAAATAGCAAGGTGATTGGTTAAAGGGTGGTATACGTCACGCCAAGCATGTTGGACATTTGTGTTGATAAACATTGATCATGAGTACGAGTTTTGACCTGGGCACACTTGCACAAATTACTCCCAGCAACTTTTTTGATACCTTCCAATCACCCCAAATAAAATACCTAATTATACATGTAGCTAGGTAACCTCTTAGTTTGTACTCGTTGGTGTGCGAAACAGTCAAAAACGACATCTGTGTTTATATGAGACCCATATCTCACATTCATGAAATCACATCCCCCAAATTTTTTTTTTACTAAAAATCAAAAAGACTGCCAAACCATGTGACTATGGCCATGCATATTATGTACAAAATATCAAGTTGATTGCTTGAAGCATTCATGATAAACAAATGAGCAAACTTTTGGTCATTTTTGTTTAAAATCAAAAATGACATTGCAATCACGCGACTAACTTAAATTATTTGTTTTACTGTCTGATGAAGTTTTGATGCAACATGATAAATTTCAAGAAACAGGATAACTGAGGCGTCATTAAAAAAACTTCTTCCTATTCAGAAAAAATCCAATTTGGCAGTCAAAACATATGATAAACTGCAAAAAGGTCAACGATAGTGTGCTTTATACATAGATGCTAAAAAACATCTGTTCATTAGTTCAAAAGAAGATTTTTAAGTCATGTGAACGTTAAAGTTTTCATTTGTGAAATACAAATGTAGGTAGCAAATATCCCAATAAAGTAAACAAAAAGTTGAGAATTCCTAGACCCACAGAATGTGTAAAAAAAATGATATTCCGATTTAACTTCTATCTAATGTGGTTACCGAACCAAAATCAAAATTCTGAAAGTCAAGCATATCACATTCCTTCCAGCAGTTTTCTCAAGACAGCTTGTTGAAAAAAGGCGGAGGAAGAAAAAACAAAATTAAATAAACCCATGATGACTTGAATCCAAAATACAAGCATGCCCTCCGTCCCTTACAAAAAAATTGTTTTCAAAATAGAGAGGATTAGGTTCATTATCTCGTCATCCTATCCTTGTATCCAGTGACTATGATGCCTGTCAGTTGGCAGAGGTTGCTTCCAAGAAACAAAAGTATTTCATTTGTTCTATATTGATGACAAAATGATGTTGGATGTCACATTGCTATAGCAACTGTTACCTTGGGAACACAGAACTTAGTATGTCATATAAAGGTCAAAGTGATATCTTTTCCAGATGTTTCTCAGTCTGTTGATTAAATGTTTGTTTAATAGAAAATTCAAAATATTGATTTGGGACTTAAAATAAATGATGTTTGTTTGACTTTTGTCTCTTGCAGGGAGGTCTTGGTAGACTAGGCGTTGTCATAGCAGCATATATGCAGTACATTATAATTTGCAATGGGTGAGTACAGGGTCAGGGGTCAGAGGTTAGGGGCAATGGTCTCTCAGTCCATCTTCTACCGGTATATGTTATTGCATTGTCATTGTCTGTGACTGTTTTTCGATGGAAGTTCAATGAGAGTTGACATTTCTGGTTCTCACAACCAAAACAGCCTTCATCAATGTTTCACATTCACCCTAACCTTAATGTATCTGACTGTGTGTCCTGATTGTATCCTTTATTTTATTTTATAGTACATGCTCCTGTTTTATTGATGTATTATAGTGCATGCTTCTTGTTAAGTACTGTAGCCATGTCCAACACTGCTCAGAGTTGAATAAACTAGGATTAGAAAAATTAATTTTATTTTTAATTTCTTTGACAGCAATGGAAATCAGAACACCGAGAGATTCAATTTGAAACGTTTCTTTGATGAGAAATTATTTTCTGCAACAGAGTCATCTCAAATGAGATATGTGAATTATTTTTCGGGATTGTTGTCAGGAGCGATACAAATCAATAATGCGCCACTTTATCTACATTATCTTGTACTACATGGAGTCCCTAACTTTGATGCAAAAGGAGGTATGTAATATTGGCCTAACCATACCATAATCTGCTATTTGCCTTAACTATACAATATCATTTGATTGTATTCACCTAACTTTGCAATATCATAATCATGCTATTCACCTAACTTTGCAATATCATAATCATGCTACACATAACTTTGTCATATTATTATCATGCTATTCACTTTGCCAAAACCATAATCAATTTATTTTATCATTGTGGTGTATGTGTGGTACATTTTTTGGCATCTATTTAATATCTGCGTTTTTATATTTGCATTCTAGGTTGTCAGCCATTTTTTAAAATATACCAATCCATGCAGCCTTCATTCACCTCAGGTGTATAGTAAGTATAATTTATGCAAGATTTTTAATCAAATTTAGATGTATTTGCAGCTGTATCAAGTATCTAAAAACAGACCGTCTCCTGCCTGCCTCCCTCTCCTTCCCTCTCGTATATCAATATTTTTTTAATATATCTATGAATTCAAAATATTTGTGTTGGCGAAAGTTCAAAGCATGAGAATCTGTCTATGATAATTTTGAGGATTGATAGAATCACAACATTGGTATATGTATGCACACGTGTGCTGGAATAATCTTAAACATTCATGGATTCATGTTCTTGTTTTCAAGTTCACAATCTTTTTTGTTGTTCGCAGTACATTGACAAATAATATGGGAAAATTAGGAGTAGTAATCGACCCACCATTACAGATCAGAGGTGACGTGTTGGTGAGTTTTATATTCCTTGTTGTGAATAATAGAAACATGTGATGATTGATAACAAATTCATATTCAAGATGCAGCAATCTGAAGAATTGTTTGTTTTTTTAAATCCTATACCAGTTTCTACTTAACCTTTTTACCACTAATTATCTCTTTTCATCACAAATTCACAAAATAGTCCCATTTATAGTCTACATTTTCCTTCCGAAGATTGGGACAAAAGTAGCAAAAATTTTTTAGTAAAAATTTAAAACTGACTCAAATTTTGTCTGTTGGCTCCAAAATTAGGGTTCATTTTCATAAATATACAATGTAAGAAAACAGTGAAGAAAAAGTTGGGCAAGAAAGTCTGGTGGTGAAAAGGTTTCAACATCAGTTGTATCATAGTGTTTATCAAATAATGGCATCTCTAAAGAAGTGCATATAAACCAAAATTTGCATTTATTATATATTGATTCATTTGAGATACCTCCCTGTCATTTATAAAAGTACATGT